TGGCCTGGTTGCCTTCCCTCTGCAGGGAGCACCTCTGTTCCCCCAAGGCTGCTTTGTCGGGGCTCCTAATTTCGTCTTCACCAGGCTAGCTCTGAAAGCAGAACCCGCGATTACGCCACCTGAACAAATAATTTTTTTGGTGAATTTTTTAAAAAAGCTTATCTGAAAGGCACAGTTACAGAGGGAGGAAAGACTGGTCTTCCATGTGCTGTTTCACTCCCTTAAAATGCTACATGGGGCAGGCTGAAGTTAGGAGCCAGGAGCTATTTTCAGATCTCCACAATGGAATCAAGGACTTGGGCCATCCTCTGCCACTTTCCCAGGTGCATTAGCAGAGAGCTGAGTCAGAGGCAGAGCGGCATTCCGATATGGGATTCCTCCTGCATCAAAGCTGGTCCTAAGGATATGGGAAAACAGTGAGGGGCAATTTTCCACTAACTTCCAACCTCAACTGACTGTGGGCCACCCAGGGAGTCATGCCTCCCCCTACTTGTCCCTACTTTCAGACTGCATGGGGACATTCCAAGCCAGCTTCCCCCAGAGTCATCCCAGGCCATCAGCAAACCCCAGGGCAGAAAACAAATGCCATTGCAGAGCACCTGAAGCCGGAGGCTGACGGGACAAGGTACGCAGGAACCTCAGCTGTAGCTGTGGTCAAGAGGTGAGGCCCAGAGGGTGTGAGCCATAGGACATCGAGGTGGCTGAGTCATGATCTCTCAGCATGGACCTTTATCATGACCGGTGACATGATGACAAGAGGAATGATGGGCGTGTAGCAAGCTTGCAGTGTGGGCCAGATGCCGTCAAGTGCTGTTTGCGGATGCCCTCGTGTTGGTCCCACAACAACTGTTTGGGATACAAACAGTTGGGCCTACTGAAGCCCCCTTTGGCCTACTGAAGCCTTCCAAGGATAGGCACCTGAGCTTGATCACTATGCACAAAGTGATCACAGTTATTTAAACGGCGAGAAAAACACCGCTGTGGGGAGAGTCCAGGATTGGAGTAAGCCAGTGAGAGGCAGTGCCTCAGCACCCTGTATCCTCCTTCTCTATGTGGAGAGAGCGCGCAAGCCTCTCTGAGTTGTCAGTCTCTTGTGAGGTTAAGGGAAGCCGTTTTGTGTTATTCCACTCTGCCCCGTCCCAACCCCCACCCCCGCCAGGTTTCAGGTAAAGGGAAATACATCCTATTTCACAGGTAGGTAGATGGGGTTTCAGACAGTGAGGGTTGTGCGGGTTCTAACTGGTGTCTGTCATTCAGGTAGCTGTTTTATCCCCTATCACAAGTTCCTCCACTTTCCTGTGCCATTAGCTGCCTGCTAACACAGACCTTGGGAGGTAGCAGTAGGTGATTCAAGTACTTGGGTCTCTTAAACCCCCCGCTGGGGAGTTTTGGGCCTTGGCTGTTGTGGGTGTTTATAAGAAGTGAACCAGCAGGTAGATCTGTCTCTGCATTTCAAATAAAATGAAGATAAAGACAAAATAACGAACTACCGATGATATTGGAGAAGCCCAGCAGATGATGCTGCCCACTGCCCACCAGAATGCACGGAGGACGCATCCTGTGTGACATTCCTGCCAGAAATCCTTCCTGCATCTAACCAGAGGCCATATCTGGCCCACTGAGTGTGAAAGGGACATTAAGATAGAACTGGTCTTTTGTCTTCCAAAGTGTGTAAGGCAAGGAAAGACTGAGAAACCCTTACAGATGGAGAAGAAACACAAGCATGCAGTGCTTGGTTCTGCCAACGTCCGCTTCTGCTTCTACAGGGATTTATTGGGCTTCTGGCTTAAAGGGGCTCTGGGGACTAGTGCTAACTTTCTGATTTGGATGACTGGGGGAATGTTCTGGTAAAAAGGTGTTTGAGCAAAAAGAAAACATGAATAGATGAAAATGTGATTGGATACAAAGAACAAGCACTGGAAATGGGCAACATTTATCAAACACCTGTGTGGTCCCTGGTCCTGACGCAGATACCTCAAAGCCATGTCCATTTCTTAGTGGTGGGCTCTTGTGGCTATCTCCCAAGGCCCCTCAAATGCTGTGGAATTCAGTCCTTCTTTCTTGGGTGATAGGGGTAGCTGGTTCATATGAAGTGACTCTTGGTGGGCTCATCAGGGGATTCAAGAAGGGGGCTGCTCACCAGGAAAGTAAGTCCATGGTTAGCAGCTTGGAACCTTCAGCCTTACTCTCCATCCTCCAGGGAGGAAAGAGGAGCTGGAGGGAGAGTAAAAAGTCAGTTGTTCCTGCATGATGTAGCTGTTAGATTCACCGTTCGCCAAAATGTTAGATTCACTGACCACCATGCCCTGGTGAATCCAAGACATGGTGGAGAAAATATACATTTTATATTTGAGAAAAAAGTGAGTCAGGGACCCAGAATACCATAACGTCCTACTACCCAGTCTGACTCCTCTCACAGCATCTGAAGTGGGGAGCTGGAGGTAGGGCATCCTTGTTGGTTTGAGCACTTAACCTGTGTGATCTAACCTTAACTCCAGGCAGACAGCATCAGTTCAGTCAGTCAGTGGGTGTCCAGTGAGTTGGAGAATAAGTTGTTGACATGGGGGGGGGGGGAAGGGAGGGGAAACCCTCACATTTGGTGTCAGAAGAGTTGCCAATAAAGAATTTTGAAATGATGAAATACTTGTATTTCACCCTCACTCCCAAGGTGTGCTGCTCAGCCCCCGCCATTCTGCCCAGGCACCCACTGAAGCCACTTCCATATCTGCGACTGCCTGCGCTGTGGTCCTTCCATCCCAAGAATCCATTTCCAGATACCTAGAGCCGTCCACTTAGTGGCCTTCTCTTCCATTCCTATGCTACAGGGCTTATCCTTCACCCTCTCACCCTCAGTGGGCTGGGATGTGGCCGCCGGGGCCCTGCAGCTTTCCTCACCTGGGCTGATCTTGGTGCCCAGCTTCCAACAGCTTTATTCTGAATCCAAATATGCATCTTAGGAAGTTAAGGTCACTGGGACCTTAACTTTTTTTGTGCATCAGTTTCTGGAGCTTGTAAAAGACAAAGACTGGGTATAGCAATTTAGACCCCAAAATACCTGAATTTGAACTAGGCTCTCTGATAAGGGATGCAGGTCTCTCAAGCAGCAATTTAATCATCACAAGCATCTGTTCCTGAATTTTGCCATTAACATTTTCTTTGTTTCATAGGTGCTCTACAATCACGTGAATAATACTATATATTTTTTTTCAGTTTATAGACAACAGGCATTCGCCCCACTCTGCTCAAAATCTGCCCATAACACTCAGGGCTGCCCTCAACCCCACACCCTACTCGGATTCTTAAACTCCACTAGAGCACCCACACAAAATGCCTCACCCCACGCCGACTGCAACACCACAGCCTAGACTAAGCCTGCAGCAAGTAGAGCCCCAACACCCAGCACTAGGCCACCGAGCCCAGAGTGACTCCCTCCTCAAGCATGACCATGTCCTGACCATGTCCTCCCGAGAACGACCAACCGAGGACCCTGGGGTTTCCACCCCCCACTCACCTCACTCCTGCAGAGGCTCAGCACCCGCTGATGGGGACAATGAAACCACCAATTTCCAACCCATGTTCTGGTCTCCCATCAGGATAGTAACACTAAGCAGAGGCCATGATTGTATGCAAATATTTATCCAACAGTGAAGAAATAAACACACATTTACATGCAAGCATTGACTGCCCCACACAGAAAAACCCAATCTAAGTGGGCCAAAGAACTCCACAAAGGAGAAAAAAAATGCAAAATAGTACGTGTAAATGAGTATCAGAAAGCTACAACTGGGAGCTCTCTCCAGTCATCCACCTCCTTTTATAAACACGAAGGTGGTGCCTCAATTGGACATACAAACCAGATGGGAGCCTGAGCATGCACCCTGGTCCAAGATGGACAGGTGTATCCCAGGAAGGTGGGCCTATTAAATAGATTGTGCTGATTCTAATCCTTGCAGCCCTGCTTCCCATCCAGTTCCCTGCTTGTGGCCTGGGAGAACAACAGAGGACAGCCCAAGCCTTGGGACCCTGTACCCACATGGGAGACCTGGAGGAGGCTTCTGGTTCCTGGCTTCAGATCGGCACAGCTCTGGTTGTTGCAGCCGCTTGGAAAGTGAATCAGTGGATGGAAGATGTTCCTTTCTGTCTCTCCTTCTCTTTGTATATCTGACTTTTCAACAAAGATAAATTAAAAAAACCTTAAATTTTTAAAAATGGGGTCTCTCAAGCTGTGGTAGATAGACTGTTGCTAGAAATTCTCCACCAGTCTTTCCCCAACCTTGCAAGCCCTAATTCCCCAACCTCACTCCACTTGCATGGGGATTACTTTTGGGTTTATTTGAAATTTTGCCACCTAAACATGCAATCTTAAACACCATCTTCAGTTCTGCCTCCTTTTGAATTGAATATTAAGTAGAGTCAGTTGCATTTATTCCTAGGCCTGGCTGTTTTTGCTCAAGAGCAGGTCTGGAGATGTGTTCTTGTGGCTGTAGATGGTTGTGGATTACTTAGTTTCATAACTGAACAGTATTCCCCTGTGTGACTTTGCAGTATAGCTATGTTATAGCAGACAGACAGGAGCCAGGACCTCCATCCAGGTCTCCCACATGAGAGGCAGAGACTCGAGTATTTGGGTCACACCTGCTCTCCCAGGAACATTAGCAGGCGGCTGAATCACACACAGAGTAGCCATGCTTCAAGTGGTGCTCTAATATGGGATGTCAAATAGTCTCCCAAGGCCAGTGGTAAGGGTTTAAAATAAAAAGTCATTGGGAAGTTGTGTTCCAATAATCCCGTGAGGGAATGCAGCTCTTGGGTAAATGCAGCCTTGGTTACCACTGAGGCAGCGCTAAAGGTGCACGAGGCGTTAACGGAAGTGATGGCAGCTTTCTAATCGTTATGGTATCAAACAAAAGCGTAAAAACTGAAATCAAAGGCAGTACCAAAACTGCCCACTTCGTATGTGCTGGGGGGCTAAGAAAAAAAAGTGAACATAAAACAACCAATCAGCAGAGAAAAATATTTATTGTATAAATATCTACACATTCTGAGCTGATGCTATATACTTGATCAGAAAGTCCTTTAATTTGGAAATATGCATAATTTCCTTCATTGTGGTATCTCTGCTCCTCAGTTGGACTAAGCCGTTCTCCAAAGTCCCTTCGGTAACAAGGACAGTGAAAAGGATGCTCATTTCATCATACCTAGGAGAAGAGTTCAACGTCAGCAGAGTTGGTGTCAACTCCCTACGTTAGCAGCTTCAGATACTTCGCAGTCCACGCCACTCAAGAGCCACAAGCTCCAAAACAGAACTTGGGCTGGACCAAACAACAGCTTTCAGGTTTCTAGATAACAGTCAAATGAAGCTTTTCAGAGGTGCTAACTTACTGGTTTAGCTGATAAGTCATAAAGTAAAAACACTGTACCCTTAACACATCATTTGGGTCAGTTATGTATAGATGAACTGCATAATTATCTCAGCTTTTTGTTATTCGATGCCATATAGGAATAGTTATTTTAGACTGAATTCTCCTACAATAAACAATATTACAATACAGAGATGATATATAATAACTTATACCTAAATCATGCTTCACTTATTTTATGAGGATAATTGATTGGATATCATTTGTATGGGAACAATTGATTGGATATACAAAAAAGACACTTTCAGACAAGGGTGTGGAAACAATCCATGGTTTCCCTAGACGGACATGGGAACTATGTAAGCTCCTCAATACCTCGTCCCTTATCCTGTGTGATCCACAGTCTATAAAAGCCTGATGCCACTAATAAACTTCGGCTATTGACTAGTCAGTAGTCGACATATGTTATTATCAGCTCTGTGCACCCAGTCCATTGCTGCCGGACAGCAAATAATTTATAACTTGGTGGCTAATTTATAGTTTCTAGTTCAGCAGTGACTGCACACCCGCGGTGGCCTTCATTCTGCTCTCTATGCCACATTCTCACTCTATTTTCTTGGCTGATCTCTATCACAAGCTATTTATCCATTCACTATGTTGTTCCACTAGAATATTAAGCTTCTTGAACCAGGAAAATTTTCTGTCCTATTCACTACTGCAGCATAACAGGTGATCCATAAATATGCAAATATTCTGGCACAACAGAGTATTCATCATGTGGAGAACATCTGTAACCTGAAAATATCCACAAGTTCCATTTCTCTTTGTAGAAAAAATTGTTCTGTGATATCTGCTAGAAGACCATTTTAACAAGTTATCAGAGAACGAATCAATAAAATAAAAAACACAAAGTGTACTAACTTTTCATAAGGTACATTAAAAAACAAACAAAAAACCAAAGACCAAAAAGCTGGGCCCAGCGTATGGCTTAGTGTCTAAATCTTGTCTTCCAAGTTCCAGGATCCCATATGGGTGGTGTAATGTGTCCCAGGTGCTCTGCTTTCTCATCTAGCTCCCTGCCTGTGGTCTGGGAAAGCAGTAGAGGGATGACCCAAAGCCTTGGGACCCTACACCTGCATGGGACTCCTGGCTTTGGATTGGCTCAGCTCCAGCCATTGTGGCCACTTGGGGAGCGAACCATCGGACGGAAGATCTTCCTGTCTCTCCTCTTCTCTGTATATCTGATTTTGCAATTAAAAAAAAAAAATCTTAAAAAAAAAAAAAAGGCAGGTCTGGAACTTTTCATTTGTGGGGCCTGTTGGTGGCTCAAAAAGTTTCTCAATTTTCAGATTAGGGATGTGCAACCTGTAGCCAGCTTTAGTGTTGAGCAAAGGGGGCAGGAGGAGGGAGCAGCAGTGCCAGTCACAACAATACTCCTTTGGTTCTGGGAGGAAGCCCTGGCGGCCAGGAGCGGTGTGCCACACATGCTCCTTCAACACCGAGCCAACCCTGCTGTTTTCCACGCAACACTGGTAACATGAGGAATGCACACTTCATGATTCAAGTCTTGCAATTGTGCAAGCATACCCACTTGAATGCTAAGTTCTGTACCTGTCGATGCAATTACCTAGGAGCACGTGGGTGAAGGAAAAGTGGGGAATCATTTTAAACTGTACTTTTTATGTATCTTCATATCTGTTATCATAAAGGAACATACAATCAAAAACTCTGATAAGCATTCTTTAATAAGGGAGACAGTCCTTACTTTGAATAAAGCTGTTCCAGTGAAGATGGCACAGTTTCCAAATAACCAGGCCATACAGAAATGCCGCTCTCTAGTAACTCCTTAAATAGTCCTTGACAGACCTAGAGAAAAAGGCAGAACTTCAAATGTGAAATAAGCCACAGCAATTATCAAACTGTCGAGAAACCATAAATCACCCTCCTCAGTCTCTAAAACACAGACAGTCTTTCAATGTTACAAAACCAATGCTGATATGAGGGACTTTATATTTTGAGTTTTGACCACATACTTCCCCTGAAAATGAGTAAATTAAGTCCTTGTAAAGCTGAGTACTAAGAACAGTGGTGGTGTATCAGGTTAATCCTCTGTCTTAGGTGTTGACATCCCATTTGGGCACTGGTTCTAGTCCCTGCTGTTCCACTTCTGATCCCGCTTCCTGCTAACAACCTGGAAAAGCAGAAGAAGGAAACCCAAAGCATTGGCATCCTATACTCATGTGGGAAAACCCACAAGAAACTCCTGGTGTCTGACTTTTGGACTGGCCCACTTTTAGCTGTTGTGACCATTTGGGGAGTGCATTAGCAGATGGAAGATGAAAATCTCTCTCTTTCTCACTCTGTAAACTCTTTCAATTAAAATAAATGTCTCTCTCACGGGGAACTGGAACGCCTTCGGAGCCCGAGAACTCAGAGGGCATCCCCTCTCTTTGAATCTACCACATAGGATGAAAGAAGCCTGAATTCTTCCTTGTAGGATCCAAGGTCATCGGAACAACAGCAGGAACCCAGAGTGGTCCTCGGAATCAGAACAGTAAACTTCCTTTGGGACTAGGGAGAGGAGCTTTCTCTGGTCCTTACTTAGTTCCAACTTTGGGTCTCCACCCTCTCTGCAATGACCATCAGGGTCCTTCCAGAACCCCCACCTCCAAACACACACACACAATTTAGAATAGATAGGCAGAGAACAACAAGGAAAGCTTGGTCAGCATGGACTCACACATACCTTACTAGGTAGGACACAAAGAGTAAGTACTCCTCACCAAGGTATTGAAGATTTCCCTGCAAACCCCTCCTATAACTGTTTTGCACCTCAATTGTTGAAATGTCAATGGAGTAGTCACAGGATGTGGTTAAGAAATTGCATTGTTTTTAACATATTGTTTACATATTGTATATTGTTGCTGATGTTATGTTGGGGCTTTTAATTGATCGGGATTTAACTCTGTTGGCTCTACCTTCAGACCAGAGAAAGTCCCCCCAAAGAAGCTGTTGAACTTATCTGGACAATAAGATGCTGGACTCTATGCTTAGTATATGTTTGCAATGAAGGAATATCAACTGAACTTGAACTGTGGTTATGCAACAAGGTGGAGGAATCCACCATGGGGGGAAGGTTATGGGAGGAGTGGGGGAGTCCCAGTACCTATAAAACTGTATCACATAATATAATGTTATTAATAACAATGTATATATATATATATATAATGTCTCTCTCTTTTTAAAAATATTTATTTACTTTTACTTGAAAGGCAGAGTAACAAAGAAAAGAGAGAGAAAGAGAGAGTTATCTTCCATCTGCTGGTTCACTCTGCAAATGGTCCCAGCCATCTGGCTTCCCATCTGGCCTAGACCTGATGTTTGCAGCCAACTGAGGGGTGAACCAGCGAGTGGGACATCTCTGGCTGTCTCTCCCTCTCTGTCATTCTGCCCTTCAAATAACCTAACAGTGGGCTTTATCAATGCTAGAATCTTTGTTTATACTGATAAGTACAATTCACTGGACACCTGTACAAATATTTTAATTACTAAAAGTGGGTACACACATTAAAAGGCTGAACTACTGAGGAAGGCATTGAACCGAGCAGTGAGGACGCCTGCCTTCCACACCAGGGTGCCTGACTTCAATTCCCAGCTTTGGCTGCTGCATCTAGCTTTCTGCGAATGGCAGGGCCTGGCGATGTCTGAAGTGACTGGCTTCCTGCCACTCATTAAAGAGACAAGCAATGAGCTCACAGCTTTGTCCCGCCCAGCCCCGGTGCATGGCAAGCATTGGAGGAGCAAACCCATAGCAGGAGCTCTCTTCTGCCTTGTTAGCAAACAAATGAAAACCACAGACATGACTTTACATGGCAATACTCACTGCTATACAGTCAGCTTTCTTAATATTCTATACTTCAAATTATAACTATCCTCAGTTTTACGCACAGTTTATTATTTACAACTAAGGATTTAAATGGTAAACTAACCAAGTTTACCTGGGATGACGGTAATTGTTTAACCTTGCCTTTAAACTCATTTCACCCACCTGCCTGAGTTCCGCTGTTGGGCCTCTTCCTACATCCAGAGCAACCTTGATAGGGGCCAAGCAAGGGTGGAGCTTAAGTACCTAAGGCAATTCAAGAGGGAGGAAAAAGTACATCTTGTTTAAATAAAATGCAAAAATACGAACAAACACAGGGTTTCTTAAGTTGTTAAACTTTTCTGCCTGAAAATCGAAGTTACCTGAGGCCCTAAGAATCCACCACATAAGGGTGCATTTGGCTGCTTAGAGCCAGTTGCCCACTAATTTCTCGACTTAGAAATAACAGCACTTGGGTCCGGTGCAGTAGCCTAGCAAGTCCTTTCCTGTATGGGTGCTGGTTCATGGCCTGGCTGCTCCACTTCTCTTCCAGCTCCCTGCTTGTGGTCCAAAGCCTTGGGACCCTGCACCAGCGTGGGAGACCCAGAAGAGGCTCCTGGCTTGATCAGCTCGGCTCCAACCATTGTGGCCATTAAGTTCTTTCTCTCTTGCCTTCTCTCTGTAAATCCGACTTTCCAATAAAAACGAATAATAATAATAAAGAAATAATAGAACATGACACTCTCCCATTTCCTATCTTGCTCTCTCAGCCAAAATGCCCCATCTGGCATCACCTCCTCCCCTTCCCTTTGAACCCCGCCCTGCTCTTGCCGGAACCTACTGCTCTTCACATTTGTTCATCCACCAGTCACACTGATGGCCGCACGATACCAGCATCAGCTCTGGGTGTTGAGGACAAAAATCTGTCCCTCACGGGGTGGAGAAACAGATAAGTCATGCGTCAGTAGCATGTGAAAGGGACAGCGCTGAAAATAAAGGAGAAACAATAGCGAGAGCTGTCCAGGGGCAGGCTGGTGGAGAAGCTGTGACTTTAACTGAAGTGGCCAGGAGAGGTCTTCTCCAGGATGTCATTTGGGCAACAATTTGAAAAGGCATGGGGAGCGAGACACGTGGAGGTGGGAGGGAGAGCACTCCCACTGGAGGGGAGAACTAGGACAAGGCTCTGAGCTGGCTCTTACCCGGAATATTCTAGAAACAGGACTCAGTGCTGCTGGAGCAGACTGAGTCATGCGGAGAGCAGCAGTGGGCCAAAAAGGGAAGGGTTCGGCTGTTTCCAGGTGAGATGGGAGCTTCCTGGGGTGTTTAGAGCAGAGAGACAGCTTGGCAAGTTCCCTTCAACATGGCTGCCTTCTGGGCGAGCAGGGACCTCCATCAGGGTGAAACAGTACAGGGGCCAGAAGTGGTCCCATTAAGGACTCATTCTTTTGACTCTTCCCAAGAGAGGGCCCTGCAGAGGTTAACCGTGACAGTGGCTTTTCATTTGCACCACAACTGCTGTTCCAGCCACTTCCTTTTCAAGGTGTCTCCCACCGCTTTGCTCCTGGCCCCACCTTAATCCTTTCCAGTGGTCACTTCTCTTTTGCAACTTCAGCATGCTGGGCCCCTAGCCACGCCCCTTGATTCTCTATGCTCCTGGACCTGCACAAGTGTTACGTCTTCAGCCTTTTCCCTGGATTCGGGCCCCTACTGAACTCCTCAAGCTAGTGGCACCTGGAACCAGACCAGTCTCGAGACCCCAGAACAGAGAAGTTGGCTCCGCAGGTCTCCCAGTCCTGTCTTACTGCTGCTTACCGTCAGCTAGCACCCGAGCCACACATCAGCCATGCCAAGGCTGGCCCACAGAGGCACAGCCGACCGCATCTCGGCGATTACCTAACAGGGACAGGCGATTCTCTGTTCCACTGGGTGAGGGCCTGAGTGTTACTCCTGTTCAACCCAGTGCCCCAAACAGAATGTATGATTCAGTTATGTGAGAAATGAAGCATACGAACAAAAGGGGAGGGGCGCTGTTTTTTGCTTCCCAAGTCTACTTCTGAAACATCACAGGCACCTTTCTGTGAAGGTGTTTCTTTCTGGTGAAGGAGTTCTCTGTCAGCTGGAAAGAATCGTGGAGGTAGGCCAGCACGCCACGGTCCAGGTCCCCGCTCACAGACACCACACAAGGAACCACGTTTTTGCGTCCATCTCGGCCCTTCACAGGAAATGACAACACAAATAAATTTAGCACAACTCTCTTTCTTGAATCTATGCAGTTTAGACTTACACAACCAGAATTCACAATGTATTTATTTATTTATCTTATGCTTTATTTTATAAAGCATCCATTTTCCGCCAGTCCTATGAGGCTTACACACATATGGGATAGGGAAAGGGGTCACACAGATGGGCAATTTTGTGAAATCCAAAATTATCTTCATAGTAAATGAAACCTTTTCAAAAGCTTGCTTTTGGGGTTTCTTCTAGCCACAATTACGAAGACACTACAAAACATGACATCAATCAAGTATTGTTAAACAGACTTAATTCTCTTTTCAACCAACGAGGAAAGAATCCTTTCAATGCTTAAAAAACTTCAAGTATAAAAACGCTTAACATTTTAGAATTCTAAACATCCCACCTTTATCCTCACTTTGCATATAATCACTGTTCACCTGGACATTGATGTAATTTTAACAAGAACTTCGAATTAGTTGATGTAATATTTTAATATCTGAAAAATTAAAACCCTCCACTTCTGTAAGTTACCCACGATCAAGCCGTCTTCCCTCACCCATGTAAGGACCAACATTTAGCCTGTTTGGATTGCACAGGACACTTGAGGGGTTAGTGAGATTTGCTTTCAAAAGGCAGTTAATTCTGATATCTAGGATTCTATCCTAACTCAAGTTTTCCGCACATTTATGGAATTGCCATGTGACTCAAAGGATTATCGTATGTAAACATTAAGAAAGCTTCAGAGGCTGCTCCACTTCCCATCCAGCTCTCTGCTTAAGGCTGGGAAAACCACAGAGGATGGCCCCAAGTCTCTGGGAACCTGCACCCATGTGGCAAACTGAGGAAGCTCCTGGCTCCTTGCTCCAGACCACCTCAGATTCAGCCACTGTGACCATGTTGGGAGTGCGCTAGAGGAAGATTTCCCTGTCTCTCCTCGTAAATCTGTCTTTCAAATAAGAATAAATCTTTAAAACAAATAAATACAAAATGGCCTAGGGAACTTTTGAAAAAGAATGGTAAATGACAGATATTCTCGTTAGTATTTTATAACATGTCCAACTAATGATGAATAAATTCAGTGAACTATGGAAACAGAAAAGCAACACTTTCACAAAAGGAAAATTCTCAATCATGACACAAAAATTGCATTTAAACTCCTAGTCCCAAGGTTGAGCAGGCTTCTAACTACAATCATTAACCAAGTAAGTTTGATTTTTCATTAGTTAACTTATTCACATTTAAGAATTAATCTACTTTCCACTCATGATGAGTTAAAGCTTGAACATCCCTAATTTGAAAAGCTGAAATGTTAAAAAATGCGTAACTTTTTGATTGCCGACACCACGTGGAAAATTCCACACCTGACCTCATGTGATGGGATTGTAAATGCAGGGGTACTAAAAACATCCAAAAATTATTTTCAGGCTTTTTAAGGCATACATGAAACATAAACACATGTTTTTAAATTAGATTTTAGTCCCATTCCAGAATGCTTCATTAGGCACAATGTCAATATTCTATAAAAAAAATCTGATTCAAACATTTCATGTAAGAGATACTTAATCTGTACTCCATCTTCAAACTCACAGCATTTTCAAATTTCAGTTCCTTTTTCCCACTATTAAAATGCACTGGCTACCCAAGAGAACTTCAGTGCTAGCCAGAAAACCTACGGCTGCCTATGTGGAATCTCTTCAGGGTGGTGTAGCACCTTTTGCCCAGCCCCATGCCTGCAGGAAGCTTAAGGAGGCGGGCTTCTCTGAAGGGATTACAACATCTGCTAAGGTTTTTGAAGAGCTTGTTGTACACGGTAGAGTTGATGCAGCAACCCTCTTTCCTGCAACCCCCTTTTTCTCTTTCTTGCTGGGGCTGAGTTTTGGGTCAGCGGCTGATATATCCAACTAAGGGGGACCCAGGGCCAAACTTGTGGCAAGTGTTACAGGTAGAAAACAGGCCAAGCTTCCTAAAAGCCATTAAAGAGCAGCTTCAGGGAAGGCAGTGGAAGAACGCCCACGTACATGGGCCCCTGCCGCTCCCGCAGGAGACCCAGATGGTGTTCTTGGCTGCTGGCTCTGACCTGGGCCAATTCCTACTGTTGCAACCATTGGGGGAGTGAACTAGCAAGGGGATGTATCTATCTCTCAAGCTCTCCCTCTATCTCAATCTTCATTCCTTTCAGATAAATACATAAGTACATTAAAAAAAAACAAACTCAGCATCCTAAAAGACAAGGAAGGAATACACAAAACACATAATCCTGGCTGGCTCATGGATCTGCCAAGGGCAGGTCTGGAATAATCAATTTAATTTGAAGAGGCCTTGACATGAATAGAAGTGGCAGATTACTCTTAATTTCCTGACTGTTTTGTACTGCATAGGCCATGTTATCTTTATACCTGAAAAATACTCATTGAAGGATTACAGGATTGAAGAGTATGATGGCTGCAATTTACTGGCTCATAAATGCTCAGAGAGGCCAGGACTGGGCTGGGACAGAGTCAGGAATTCCATCTGGGGCCCCTATGTGGTGCTTAGTTCATTCTCAGCTGCTTTCCTGGGAGCCTTGGTAGGGAGTTAGACTGGAAGTGGAATAGTTGGGACGTGGGCCAGTGCCCATACGGGATGCCACGCTGGCAGCACAGGGGGCGGTTTGACCCACTGCTCCACAACACCGGCCCTTGTACCAGCCCCAGCTTTGTTCAGCTGTTACAGATCTCTGCCCTGGGACTCCATCACAGATTTGCACTGCATTTGTTTAAAATGCTTTTGAAGTGTTAATCACTGCATGTTAGTAAACAAAATTATCATTCTCGTAAAAACAAAACAACAACAAAAAAATGTTCACAATCGGCATAAAGGGCACGAAGGGGCTCAAGACTCAACGCACATGTAATTTGGCGGCATCTCCAGGAAAGCTGTGTAGAAGTTCTTCCTCTCCCAGATTCCACAGGGTTTCTATGGGCTCCCTTCCCCAGGGAAAGCTGTACAACAGTTTGCTTCCTTTGCGACCCTCTTCATCCTCACAGTCACTGCTACTGAAGTTCGAGGGGCTCACAGCAAACTGGAAGAGAAAGCCTGTCTTGTTAACTCATTAAAACAGACGGGCAATATCCCTCTGATCCCTCCGCGTAAAAGTTCTCTAAGCCCTTTCACACTTTCACATATCAAATAACCGGCCTTAGTCCAGTCCCTGGTAACAACTATGACATTTAATTAAGTTTGAGGACGCTGATGAAGTCTCGGGAGACTCTGGACACCTGTGGGATGCTGCCTAGGCTTTTGGTGGCCCCTGAAGAAAGGAAGCTCATTGTGAACTAAAAGGGATAAAGAAGACTGTCTCACCCAGTCTCCATCCTCGCCTTTGTGGGAACTGTTTGGTTACTTGTAACCGTCCCACCTTCGGGGGAGTTGAATAAAAGCATAGGCTAACACCTGACTCTTCAGCTACACTTTTGATTCACAGGGAGTTCGAGAAGGAGAGTAATACAACTTGAAGCCAGAGAAGCTGCAAGATGGACTTGAAATCTACTTTGAACAAAAAGGCTCAACAAGAAATGTCTTCACCCAAGTTTAGCATTGTTTTCTGGAGTAATAAACATCACAAAGTTTTTTTTTTTTTAATTTTTAAAAATTTGGGTCTGCTGGTTTATGATAAGCTGTCTTGTTACAAATGAAAGAGAACCACAGCAAACCATTTCATTCATAATACATAAGCACTACCCCTGAATGGTAAGACAATGCGCCTATTAAACCAGTTAAAGGTGATGATTGCAGTACCTTTCTCCACCACAGGAGTCGCTGGCGTAACCAGAAATCAAGCCACTGGCTTGAAGTTCTTGGAGATGTAAACCAGACCAGGGAAGCTTCTGTCTTCTCACCAATTCTGTTGGAGATCGAAAGCGTCAGGAGGTTAGCTTATTTGAAAAGCAATCACAAAATCTGTCCCAAAATAGAACCACAGCTGGTTGTTTTCTACTGAAACACAAGGCCAAGGTTTTGGCCGTGCAGTGTACCTTTTCACGCCATCGGGTGTCTGCCGAGCGTCAGAAACGGGAAGAAAGCACGTTCCGATCTGAGCAAGCCCAAAGGGCAGCCGCTTGTTGACCAGATCCAGGCAATCAACATAATGTTCCAAAGCACCTGTCAGAAGATAAGTCTATCACTGCACAAACCTATTCAGCAAATGCCAATCGCTTCTGCTGCCAATTCAGACAAACTTATAAGGAGGTTAGCACAGCAGTACAAGAAGCATGGAGATATAAGACAGGCATTAATTACCACTTACTTGGGGGGGGGTAGTTTCCTCCCCAACTTTTTGTTTGAACATTTCCAAATCAACAAAAGTTTAATGACTAGCATGGGGCCAGCACAGTGGTTCATATCTGATCCTCTACCTGCAAACACAGGGTCCCATACAGGCACCGATTTGTGTCCTGGCTGCTCCACTTCACTCAGCTCCTTGCTCGTGGCCTGGGAAAGCAGTGGAGGATGGCCCAAGGCCTTGGGACCCTGAAACTGCATGGGAGACCTGGCTCCTGGCTTCCAATTGGCTCAGATCTGGCTGTTGCAGTCAAGTGGGGAATGAACTAGTGGATGGAAGGTTTTCCTCTCTGTCTCTCCTCTTTGCAAATCTGCCTTTCCAGTAAAAATCAATCTTGTAAAAAAAAAAAAGTATAATAAACATCTGTCTACCTTCCATGTACTCATGAATTGCCAGTATTCTGTCTCTGTCTTGTTTACTCCCACATACTTTGCATACATATCCTCAGAATAAAAATGTTTTCTGTATATCCTTACTAGAACATAAAAATTTGAACATAATACCATAACATCGTCTAACATGTAGTTGATTTTGTGTTCCGACATCCGAAGCTTCATGCACTGCATTTTTGTAAGGTCTCTCTATTCTCCCTCAGTCTAGAACCTTCCCCCTGACTCCTCTCCCCTTAGCTTTGCTTTTAAACCACCAGATCTGAGTCCAGGCTCGTTAGCTGTAATCTCACAGGCGCCATCTGTCAGAACTCAACATCCTCAAGCACTGGGTACAGCCCCCTGCTCTTCCGTCTCTTTATGACGGAGAGCATTACGTTAAAATTAAAATTGTTTCAGGGGCTGCATGTGGCTCAACTAGTAAATCACTCAAGCACTGGCATATCATATGGGTACTGGTCCATGTCTCAGCTGCTCCGCTTTCCATCCAGCTCCCTGCTTGTGGCCTGGAAGAGCAGTCGAGGACGGCCCAAAGCCTTGGGACCCTGCAGTGTGTGTGTGCCAGTCTTCTTTTAAAAACTTAATTTATTTGAAAGGTAAAGCTGGTGAAGAAGAGACAGAAATATTCTTCAAGTTGCTGCTTCATTCTGCAGATGGCTGTGATGACAGGGGGTGGGCAAGGCTGAAGCCAGGAGCTTCATGTGGGCCTCCCACGTGGGCGACAAAGGGCATCCTCTATTGCCTTTCCATGTACGTTATTATATGCGCTAGCCCTCGCATGGGATACCAGTGTTGCAGACATTGAGAGGTTATGAGGCCAGGAACTTCTTCCAGGTCTCCCACGTGGGTGCAACGGCCCAACCAGGTTGTAAAGGAAAGGGCTTGTGTGTTGGGGGGGAGGCACTTTTTCTTCTTGCTGTAGGAAACTGAGCTCTTGACTGTAATTACACTTAAAGAATTAACTGTGTGAGCGAACATTTGTGGTTTAACAATTAGCCAATCGTTCAGTTCAAACAGGTGACATGCAGGCTCAACGGAACTTTCAAATGCCCTGTGGCCCCGCCGTTGCCAGGTGCTCTGGGCAGGTTCTGAACAGGAGGATTCCGTGGATGGGTCAGTTTTCTCCCCGGTCAACGCCTCCGGCCGCTTCGGAACACGGAGGGCCTGACACCACCTCCCCTGCGTGGGAACGCAGAGCCGGCTGCACCCCGCGGACGGAGTGAGGCTGCCTTTCCACCCCAACCCTGCTGGGAAGAACCAAGTCTGAAGCGTACCGTGAAGGAGGCTCTCCCGCAGCTTCCCCGCAGTGTCTAGCAAGTTCTCAAGACATGCTACTAGCTCTTCCTTACTCAGCTCCTTGTCTTGCAAGATTTGGCGCAGGGTTTCTGTAGAGACTAACCTGAAGGCCCCGTCCCCACGAGGCGCCAGCCCCGGCTCCCCATGGCGGCCGTCCACCGGGAACACCTGCTCCCGGAACACCACCACCGAGGACCACCATTCTGCAGCCAGATTTCTGCGCAGTTCCACGCCCCAGGGCCCCAAGCCCGGGTGGCGCCCGTTCAGGAGACAATCTGGGCTGAGCTGCAGCCGTGTGCCGCTGAGGAAATGCCTTCTCCGACAGATGTCCACCAGCGCCTCGCTCCCCTCTTCGTGCTCGGGGGCTGCCGCCGGCCCGCCAGCCCCGGGGAGCTCCACGTGTACGTTCGCCCTTCCCGTCACCCGCTCCGGCTGCGTCCCTTCCACACGACCCCCAAATCCAGACAGCAGGCACCTGCAGGCTTCACGGCAGCGCCTGGCGGTCGCCCGATGGCGCATCTCTCCCAGCCCACAGTGCCAGCCCCCTTCAGTCGGCGGAGGCCGATCGCGCAGGCGCGATAAGCCCTGCCCCACACCGGAAACGCATCACCGCCCGGGCAGTCTCCTCCGGGGCGGACCTTCCGCCCTTCTTCCGCCCCCAGCCCGCTGATGTTCTTCCGTTATTCCCGTTCCGGTAAAGGTTGCTCCCAGTCCTCACTGATAAGCTTAACCTCCTTTCGCCATGTTGTTATCCCAGAAGAAACCATCGGGATCAACACACTTGAGCTTTAGCCCGGGCCAACACATGAAACACTCCGCCTACCCCGGAAAACACATCCTTGCCAGGAGCAAGGCGCCCTCCCACCGGCAGCGACACCCCATCACCCGAACTCGGGGTGTCATGTCAGCCTGCGGGACAGCTGGCCCAAGGTCCCTTTCTAAACAAGAAGGCACCTTAAAAAACCCATTTCTGCAATTTAGCCATTGATTCAACTCAACAATTATCGGCTAGTCTTGCATCACAGGTAAGGAACAGTGAAGCAGAATCGAACTGCTGACCCCTGGTGTGTGTAGAAAAACACACCAGGGAGGGACTATGAACAAATGAGAGAGAACGGGGAGGAAAAAAAAGGTCACATTTATTAGTTAATCGACAACCACAGGCTGGGCACAACATACATGCTAAAAAGTGGACTGTCCTTTAAAACTGCAAACATAAGCCAACTTCCCGCCCCGCGTCGCACAATCATCTCCATAGGTGTTTACAAATGAAAAGGCCCACATGAAGACATTAAACAGTCAAATAATCAAATGCTTCAACCCATCTTTAAAGTTTCTAAGGTGGAGAGCAGGAACTTGAAGGACCATGCCGTGGAAAACCAATCGAGATTTTGAAAGTGGCTGAATCGCTTCAACTGTTAGTCCTTATAATGACTCCCAATGTCCCAGCCCCACCCAGTCTCCTCTGCTGTACACTTATGGCAAAACAAAATAAAAACCCCAAAAAACCAGTACAGCAGATCCTGGCCAGACAGCCTGACCTACTACCAGCACGACTGAGCCAAAGCTGTGGCTAAGTGCTCTTCCCCCCAAGCTTCCAGGGGGGACTACATTGAAAATAGCATAGACTGTGCTTTTTGGTTATGTCATCTCCTGGCTAACCATTAGTTCTGAGGAGGTTTTTCTCAGCTTGAGTATGTAAAGACCTTTAGAATTCCCTGAATTATTGGAAAGACATTCATGATTTCCAGTGTGACTTGAGTTAGGAGCTCCAGGAATCTGGGAAGACTAGATTCTACAAGTAACTTGCACCAAAAACTTGGCACAAATACTGTCACGACTCAAATGCAGCTCCTGGCCTAGCTGAAGGGCTTTCTAGATTTGTTCAACATTTTAGTTTAGAATATAGCCAAGAGAAATATCTTTTAAAAATCAAGTTACTTCAAGTGTTTAAAATCTAAGTTTTTTTTTAAAAGAACAGTCATACATGTTCTTAACTATATAACTGGCTACTCTAAATCTACTATTTCATTAACATTCTAACAAGGAAAATAGGCTATTAAATGACACCCTTGATGCTGGGTGTCACCAAAAGCTTTTATTCAACTTATCCATAAATTTACCTAGATCAGTCTTTTTAATTCTTCCAACATGACCAATCACTGCAGTGAAGGTCCTTACTCCCCCAGCCTCCCAAACTGAGAATCAGTTACTTGAAAAAAGTTTACATGACACTAAGTAAAACAAAGTACAATTTTCAATTCAGTCTTCAAATATTTTTTTTTATTGGAAGGCCATGCATTGCCTTCATTTATTGTATTTCAAATCACTGTACAGTTTACTTTTGTGAAAACACTGCCTGCATTTTCTAGTACAAAAAAAACCTAAAAATTGTTTCAGGAATGTAGAGAAATATCCAACTTAAATAGCGAAAAAGTGCACCATAGTCACTGCTGCACTGCAGTCATTTCTGCATTTCCCAGGTTTCTTAAATAACTATCTTGTCTGATAACACACAATATAAAGAGCAATTATGAAAAACAGACATTTACATATACTTCTAAAGTCTTATTGCGAATATCCTGTTGGCATTGGATAGCCAATCATAGGTGCAGCAGCTGCAGTAGCGGGGTACGCATACGCCTGTTGGTTCATGCCATTGTGCATACTGGCGACATTACTTCCGTACTGCTGAGTGCTATCATACCCATTCTGGTAAGTCCCTGTTGGGTTACCAGTCCTAAAGCTGGTCTGTATGCCAGCAGACACAAAATTACTTCCAAAGCTACCATTGGCATAACTAGCAGCACTGTAAACACCATTTTGAGTTTTTGCCCCAAAATCTCTCTTCAGCAGACTAGAATAACCTCTGTCATAATTCTCCCTGTCTCTAAAGGTATTAAAGCCGCCCCTCTTGCCCGCAGAGTATCTGTCCCGGCGGTCATCCTTCATGCCTCCTCTACCCCTGGAACGACCTGTCAAAAGACAAGATTTGCAAACTTAGTTATGTCTGGCACTTACTAATGCAGAGGGATTGGGTGAGTCTAGTCTTAATTACACACTAAGGGTCTTACAATTCCTCTAATTTCACAAGACTTTACTCACCCTCTAATCCCATCTAAACGGAACTGCACACGGCGTGTGACCTGAAACTACCAACGTTTCTGATCCGAGGCTTCATCTTACCTGCACCTCTGTCTTCGACCAGCTGAAGCAACTTGGGGTTAATGGCTTGATTAGCCTCCCGAAGCACAGAGATAAGGTCGCTCACTTGCTTTATGTTATTGGGTGTAAAGAAAGTGTATGCTGTGCCTGTTTTGGTACTGCGAGCAGTTCTTCCAATTCGATGAATATAATCCTCTGAGGAGTTAGGGTAGTCATAATTGATGACAAATTTCACATCTTCCACATCTGTAAGGTGTTGCAGTGTGGCAAAATAGTAATGTACGGAGTTTTGCACACCACAACAGCCAGACCAAAAATAAAAAGTTAGACAATTGTACTCCCAAGAAGGTACGGGCTGCAAAAAATACAGTTAAAATGGTTATCCTTTCCCTGTAGGAATACCATTTAGGTCTTAAAAAAAAGTTGTAAAAGCACATGTTGGCTGTACGAGTCACTGCCCACCCGTGACAACGCTTGTCGAGACGATGGTGTACCCCTAGCACATCCCCATCAGCAAGTCCCCTTACAGATCATCAAGTGACATCTGAGTGCTTCTGCGCAGTAGGGCCACTTTAAAGTTTCACAGCAACCTCTTCATGTGCTCACTTTGAGGACCTTTAAACAAAAATGTACAAGGTCCTTCACACACACTCATCAGAAGTTCAAAACTCAGGCCACACTGCTCGTCTTGCCAAGACCTTAAAACCGCAGCTGCAAGAAAAACATACCTGTCCCCCAAAAGTTGTTTTTATGCACTGTGTCTCGTCTAGGCAAGCGCTCCCAAGAAGCCAGGATTCACTTGAGAATGTGTCTCTCTCTGGCAGGTCTCGACATGACGACTACTGTGTCACAAGGTGAGGGAGGAACTTTCAAAGCACTCGTTTCTTTTCCCACTGACTCTAAGTGAGAAGTTGCGCCTGCTCTAGGTCTCATGTGCCAGTACTCACCAATTGGTAAAAGGCTTAGTACCTTTTAAAGGTGCTCTCTCCATTTCAAACTTGAACAAAAATTTCACTGAACATTGAAGTTTGGAACTATTTCTTCGACATTTCAGCAAACTCACTGAAACTCAAAGACCCACAGATCACAGTCAACAGTTTGAAACAATGCTGTACCATGGCAGTCATGCAAAGCATGGGACCGAAGAAACCACGGCAGTGAACTGTGAGGTAACTCCCATTTTTTCCCTCGGAGAGAACAGTTTATAGGGCAGAGGTGGTATGTTCTGCCCTTTGAAGATTACTGGCACACTTTCAGCTTTCACTTCTCTCTAATCGACTGGAAGCAGCCAGCCGGTCACTAGTCCTCCATCCCCCTCGAGTCCTCCGATTGTCATGCCTAGGCCTTGCCACAAAGACTGCACCTTTATGTGAAAAAAAAACTTAAGAAAAAAAATGCAGGTTAAAGAAAGCAATAAACTTTCTTTAAAGTAAAAAAAAAAACTTTATGGAGATCTTCTGGGAAATCAAGCCATGAATGCGAGTTTGTACTAACCTAGCCCTCTGGAGGCCACATCTGTAGCAATCAGAATAGGAGCTTTTCCATGTTTGAATTCTGTAAAGGATGACAAAAAATAAATAAATAAATAAAAAAATACAATTACCCCGAGCAGCAAAAAACATGTTAAGAAAAAAAATGTCTTCATTTAAGCTACCTACCATTTAGAACCCAGTCACGTTCCTGTTGACTCTTGTCACCATGGATACCCATGGCAGGCCACCTAGGATAGAAAATGTATGTGGTAAGGTTCTGATGCTTAACCATTTCCCCCCAATCTCAGTTCACCTGTATCCACACTATCAGATAATCCTAACTCCTGCTCCCAGTCTACTGTGGCCTCAAGAGCCCAAGGCCAGTGTCAACAGAAGCACACGTACCCATCTCTCCTCATTTTTCTGGTAAGTTCATCACACCGTCTTTTGGTTTCCACAAAAACAATGGTTTTATTCTCCTTCTCACTCATGATCTCCTCCATTAGACGAATCAGTCTAGACAGAAAAGAGAAATTTTGAGTTTTAAAACGGGTGCAGTGCGGTTGTGGCTGCACATTTACCTTGAAAGGCTTAAGTCTAATTTTACACAGCTCCAAGTCAAAGAGGAAACACCTGCAAGATGTTTTCAGTTCCACACCCAGTCCTAAGTGAACCACAGGACACATGACCTTTTCCCCTCTAAGATTGCTAAACAGCCAATGATCAAGGACATGGCAGAATTTAGAAATATGAACTGTTCAGATTACATCAGCTCAAAGTAAAATGAGATAACTTGTGAAGTTACCTAATCCCACAAGGTTAATACACACGTCTAGATTACTCACTTTTCATCCTTTTCTACATCATGACACACGTCCACAATCTGCAGGATGTTGTGGTTTGCACTCAGTTCCAGTGCACCGATGTTTATATGAATATAGTCTTTCAGAAAATCTTCAGCCAGCTGTCTAACTTCCTTTGGCCATGTAGCACTCCACATTAGGGTCTGCCTATCAGGCTAAGAGACAGCAAAGGGATTACATTGTACTTTCAAGTAAATTCTGACTTGAGTGTGAAGGGTGACATTATTCAGAATACTCACTCTGATTTGATCCACAATTTTCCTTATCTGGGGTTCAAAACCCATATCAAGCATCCTATCTGCTTCATCAAGGACAAGGTATGTGGTTCTTCTCAAATTGGTTTTCCCACACTCCAAAAAGTCAATCAGTCTCCCAGGTGTTGCAATACAGATCTCCACACCTTAAGTTAAATGGATAAAAGTTAACACCTTAGGGCCAAGAACACTCAGCCCTGGTTAGGAACAATCAATCTTCTCCCTTCACACCTCTCTCCAAGTCACGGATCTGTGGTCCTTTGGGAGCACCACCATAGATGCAAGTGGACTTCAAGCGGCAGGCTCTACAGTATTCAGCAGCCACCTGCTGCACCTGCTGGGCCAGTTCCCGAGTCGGTGCCAGCACCAAGCACTAAAGCAAAAACAAAAACAACCACTTTTAGAACAGACCTTGTGCGAAACCGCTAGGTTCATACTCCAACTTTGCTGCTGAACACCCACAGCCGCTTCAGCTACACCTGGTGGGAATACTCATCTCTCACAACATCGCAAATCCCATATACAATGTTCCACATGGTACTAACAATCAAAATACTTACAATAGGCCCATCGCCTCTCTCTAGGAACGGCTGATGATTGATGTGGACGATGGCAGGCAGCAGATACTACAAGAGGGCAGACAGAGCTATTAAGATACTTCAGTTATTTTTTCTTCTTCATTCCCATTCCACTTTGTCTAGCACATATCACCCAGCAACTCAAGCGCGCTCCCAAACTTACAGATAATGTTTTCCCAGATCCGGTCTGAGCTACTCCAACCATATCTAATCCACTTAGGGCAACTGGCCATCCCTGAGCTTGAATGGCAGTGGGTTCAGTAAAGTTCTGCCTTGCAATCACGTCCATGACGTTTGCTGTAATTATAGCGTTTTAGTAGAAATTTATAAGGCCAAGAGAAAGGAGGCAACAAAAACAGGGAAGGTCGGCAGACTGGCTGCGAGCAGCACTTACCGGGAAAGTTTGCTTCATAGAAATTGAGAACTGGTTTTGGACAATTGTGACCTCTAACTGTGACCTCCTTGCTTCTTCTGTAGGTCTCCACCTCTTGCTGCAAACAAATCGGAACCACCTGAGTAATAACTCTGGACAACTTCCCCTAACACACACTCTGAACAGCCACCCCTTCCTCAGGCCAGAACGCCGAACTCCCCAGACTGAAATAGCTGTCAAGGCACTCGGCAGGTTCCTAGACAAGTCCTGCTCGAGGCCACATCCAGTTACTCACAGCTGTGCGCCTGGCCAAATCAGGGTGTTCTTGGTAAAAATTCTTCTCAAATTTGGGCAGTTCATCCAGATTCCACTTCTTTTTAACTAGTTTCTCCCCAGGATTTCCAAATTTTTTTCCAGATAAAGGTCCTGCTCTACTTCCTCCAAATCGAGGTGCACCAAACCTGAAATCAAGAAAGTTGCATTTTCACACCTGTCTATTTGGCGTTGGGCAGATTTCTCACCCTCCCCCGCGGGGTCCCCATCACACAGAGCGGCCTGCTGAAGACACTTACTCCAGAGCCCCAAACATCGCTTCCCAGCCCCAAGCACCAACTAGGAAGGCCCATAAAGGGCCAGGGATCGGGCAGATCGGACCTACAACAGTTTGCGGCTGGCCGTCCTTCCCGCGAGCCGAGAGGGACTCTACGGCAAGGAAGCGTGCAGAACGGCCGGCTCCCGAGCGTCACCAGCGGGGCGTTTCGCCAACGCGCTCGGGGCCAAAGAATCGTGCTGCGGGAAACGGGCGGGAGCGTTCCCGAACAAGGTAGCAAAATTATATAACGCCAGGAACTAGAAGGAGGAGCCGGCGCCTGCCGGGGGAGGAGTCCGGGCCCGGGCGGAGCCGGCCGGGCGGCGTTCCCGCTGGGGCGGCGCTTCCCCCTTTGTCTCGCATTTCTCTCTGCGCCACATTTTCTCGACGCTGCCATTTTGAGCTCCTCCGCCGGGCGGGGTAACAAAGGCGCAGCCGCCATGTCCGCAGCCGGCATTTTGTGCCCGCCGCTTGGCAGCCACATGGCCGATTCCGGGCGGCGCCGGCCACCCTCTCTTAACTCAACACCCACATCGGCTTCGGGAGAGGCTCCCTCGCCCACCGCATTTCTGGAGTCTCTAACTACACACGCTCCGAAACGAAGGCGGCCCAGGGCGGCGCTCCTTCGCTCGCCTCTCCGGGAGCTCCTCCTTCAAGTGCCCTTACAGCCGCCAAATGGCCGCTTCCCACCCCGCAGCCCAAAGCCGGCCAGGCGGCTCGTGCGCTCACTCCGACAGCGCGCACACCGTGGGCGGGGGCCCCGGCAGAGGCCGAGCGGCCGCCGCTCGCCCGTCCATCCCCTCCCCGCCCCCACCCCTGCGGGCCTGACAGGTCCGCTTCCCCCTCACTCACTCACCCTCGATCCCGACCGCGATCCCGGTCACTCGAGTATCCCGACATGGCGTCAATGGTTGCGGTTAGCGGGGAACGCAGCGAAGAGAAACGGGCGCGACGAGTCGCGTCTTGTGGCTTCGACGACGGAGACGACGAAGCCTTCCCTGCGAGGGCGTCGGCGGTGGCGGCGGATGGACGGCGATGACGAGGGCCGGGGCTGCCCAAACCGTGAACGGTGGCAATGAATGAGGTGCCGGTGGCTGCCCGGCAGCCCCTTTTATAGGCCGCACCGCCTCCTCCTCCGCCGCGGAGGACGCTGGCAGCCAATCCGCGGCCGAATCGGCAGGCCAGGCCCCGCCCCCCCGCGTTCGGGCATCCGCCCGGTTCTCACCCCGCCCCCCGCGGCCGCTCCCTCACCAGGCGTTCAGGCAGCGCCGCGGGGCCGGAGGGACTGCGCCCGTAGACACCTCGTCCTCCCGCTCCTCCAGCTGGGCACGGCGCAGACCGGCCCGCTCTGCACACCTCACGTTTAAGTTCGGAAAACACCCCCTTCGCCCTCCTCCGCCCCCCCCCGCCAGCAAGACGGAAAGGCGGAGCCAGACCTTGTCACGTGACCCCGGCCTACTTCCCTTAGTGTTGGAGAGCGGAAGGATATACAAGAAAATAGTTCCCCGGAAGTGCAGCTCTGCCCCCTTTGAGGCCGACCTGGGCAGCTGGGTAACCTAAACTGTCCAATTGACCGACCTGAGACGTCCTGTAGCAGGATCTGGCCCGCGGAGAATGGTATCTGCCCTCCGCAAACTGCCGCGGCCCAGGCGCGTGCGACCACGGGAAGTGCTCCTCGGTGGCCAATCAGCGGCGAGGAGCCGTTGTAACGTCCCTCCTGCCCTGCGCTTGGGTGGGTGCCCGCGCCGGGACTTCGCGGTGCGACCCTTCCGGGACGCCGTCCACCAGCACCCCGCCCTCGCGCGGCCGCCTGGGAGTCCGGCGGCGCCTTCCGGCCGCGGAATGGCCGCGTCCGAGGCCGGTGAGTGTCGGCCCGGAGCCCCTGGTGTATGAGTGCGGACGGAAGCCCTCCGGAGGGCTTGAGCGAGGCGTGGGACGGCCAGGAGACCCGGTGGCCGTTGGGTTTAGTCGGGATAGGGCTGTGGGGCAGCCAGGCTGGTGGGGTGGGATGGGGGTTAGAGAGGAGCCCATGGCGCGGCCGGTGTGGCGGGGGACGCCTGCACGCTGACTGGAAAGCAGCGGGACAGAGGGCCATCCCTGGGCTGCCGGTGGGTCCCGAGACCGCACACCGTCTGTGCGGGTGTTTGCGGGAAAATAACCCTTCAGTTGTGTTTGTGCCCCTGCCCAGGTGGCCTGGGGCCGGCTTTTTGTTTTTCCCCCTCTGGGTGCCCTCGAGCCGCCCTCCCCCCGTGTGGCACGGTGTTTGGAGGGGGTGACGCGGTTGGCGTCTCTGGGACGCCTCGTCGTTTTCGTTAAGTGTACAAACAGGCCGTCGTCATGGCGTGGTCGGTTGTAGGAAGCGGGCGTGGAGGATAGGGACTCGCGCAGGCCCCCTCCCCCATGCGCCCCGTTTCGTTTCTAGAACAAACGTGTCGAACCGTGCTGGAGATGTATTAAATACTGAATGAAAGCGCTGTCCCGCTGATCGCCAGTCATTGCAGGGGAACAGGCGCTCCAAGCTTCTGAGTTGCTTTTGGCCAAGAAACCCTTCCATTTGGCTCAACCCGGCAATGTGTGGCAGAGGGGGAGGGTGGTAGTGGTAGCGAGCTAGAGTTGAGAGGGTGTTGTATTTTCAGGAACGTTCTTGCATCTGTGTCAGATGTAACCAGGCGCGACACTGCTGCTGCTGTTAGTACAGTTCTGGAAAGGCTTAGGTGCATCATCACCTGTGGGCCCCGGAGACATCCTGACCTGCAGGAGATACTTTGGTGCCAAGATGAGAAGCACTACTGGGAATTTGAAGCAACTCTCATTAGTTTCTAGTAGCTGCAGATGGTCATTAAGCTGTCTTGTTATGACCCATCCCTCCTCTACGTGTAACTCCTTCTCATGAAAAACACCTGTGAAAGGGCTTCTATACGAAAAACCGGGGAAGGACTGAAGGTTTTAGGTTGTTGTAGTGACCGCTGCGTTAGCAGGTTGGAATTAGAGTCCCCAGAAAATGAAGGATGTGTGAAACTCCGCAGCACCCAGATCCCTCATCTTCTGCACAGTTGGGTGTCTGCTAGGTGTGCATACGACCCTTGCCGCGCTGACCCAGCCTTCCTCTTGCTTCCCGTGCAGAGTGGATAACCATTGCCAACAACCTCCTCTTTAAGTGTCACATACACCTGAGGATACATGAGCTTGAAGATTGCGATGCCAATGTTTTTATTGCTCTTTATCAGTCCATTCTGGGAGAAAAGGTACCAGGTAAGGTCGCGAAAACTATGACAACGGGTGTCCTCGGCCGGAAAGGCCAAGGGCGTCAGGTGGAGCCTTTGGTACTTATCGTTAGGTTTCTTTTTGTGCACATCATTTCTATCAGCTTACTGCCTTCGTTGACACCAGCGGGGGTGCCCTCTGCTAACCAGCTCCCTGACTAACCCGATGGAGGCATTTTAATAAGCACAGCGTACTCACACATAATGACTTGTGAAAGTCGTACTGTTCAAGTGTACCTTTAGAGGTTCTGCAGTTGAGTTAGGTCAGATTACTTAACCTGTACTAAAGAGAAGAATTGATGTTTGTGCTGTATGAGAAGATTATTAATAAGCTTGCATGTCTAATCATCTGTATGTTGTCTTCTGCTTGTTCCTTTCGGAGGTATCACAACCTTTTGGCTGTATCTCTTGTTAGAGTAGCTCAAAATCTACCTCATTGGTAGATTGCTCTACTTCCTGTTTCTTTTGTAGTTTATACCCACTAAGTGGTGTCAGGTTTGTATGCTTTCCGGCAGTGCCCTCACCACTTCCTAGAATAAGGGGATGCTTTCTCGCTGCTCTTTGTGCTAGCCCACCCTCCCCAGATATCATCATCTTCATTAGCAGAGGAGATATTTGACTTAATATTAAATCTTCCCACATATTAAATCTTTATGCCAGTAATTCCCACAGATTATTTAAAAGGACATGCGTGAACTCTGATTGACTCTGCTGTGGTCACTTTCTCCTGGGCAGCAGCCGGTACTGTTGGATTAAGATCCTGTCTCATGGGCCCGGCGTGGTGACGCAGTGGTTAAGGTCCTCGCCTTGCATGCCCGGGATCCCATATGGGCGCTGGTTCTAATCCCGGAGGCCCCGCTTCCCATCCAGCTCCCTGCCTGTGGCCCGGGAAAGCAGTCGAGGACGGCCCAAAGCTTTGGGACCCGTGTGGGAGACCTAGAAGAGGCTCCTGTCTTCAGATTGGCATAGCATCAACCATTGCGCTCAGACGAAAGATCTTCTCTATCTCTCCTCTCTGTATATCCGCCTTTCCAATAAAAATTTAAAAATCTTTAAAAAAAAAAAAAGATCCTGTCTCATGTCTGGCCTCCCTTACTGATAAGCACCTTGAATTTAGGAACCAAGTTGTCCTTCTTTATATGGCATATATTACGTTTGATCTGTAAATGCATAAACGTTAGGGAATCTACTGTGCCCCATTTGGGCTCTGTTAACTTTATCTGTGCTTTCTTACACGTTGTATTTTGGCAGAACTTTTCTAACAGTTCAGTTTACTTGAAAGCTGTAGGTTCTCACAGATGCAATATGATGGGACTTTTCACCCCACAGACCTCATAGCTATTCCCAGGAGTCAGGAGGATGACGCCCACAATGTGCAGGCTGTGATCGATTCTCTGGCCTTGGATTACCTGCAGGTCAGCCTGTCTCACATAACAGGTTGGTATATACTTGAGATAATTAGGCACTTCAGTAAGATAATTAGTTCAGTAGGCTCTTTGGAACCTGAGCCAAGACAATCTAATGGTATGTTTAAGGCAAGGGCACATGAAAACTTTGTTCGAGGAGACTGAGCATTGAGTTTGTGATGGAGCTGAGTGTGAGATGTTAAGTATCCATGCTGATAATTTGTGGTATGTGTTTTGTTTGGATTTTAAAGAGTACCAGTACTGTTTATTTGTACTAGCTAAAAGTTTCAAGCAACTCAGTATCTGTTAATAAGAATTGGTTAAATTACAACTGTTCCACGTGGTGAGTTACTGTGCAGTTACAAAAGCTGATAATGTTTTTTATGTACAGTGCTGCATTTTAAAGGAATAATCTTTGATATATATAGAATGAGGAAAATGTCCTGCAGTTAGTGATAACATACATCATGAGCTACTTATGCAGCTGGTTGCTATCTCGAGGTCTCCAGATAACATACAGGAAAGTTGTAATACGCATTGCCTCCAGCAAGGGGAACATTCGGGCTGTAGGACAAATGGACAGGAATTTTCACTGTGTGCTTTTTGAGTTTTGAGCCATTTTTAAGTTTTTTCCAGATAAAAGTACCATGCTGTACCCTAAAACCAGACATACCAAATATGCTTAAGTATTTTTTATTATGGCAGGTAGAGAGAAATTAGGATTATTCCAGTTAATTATTTCAAGCCAGTGGACAAAGGGAATCTTGGAAACTTGAAACTATGCCACATTCAGAAAAACAAAGTTTAAACTTTTGATTCATTCTTCGACAGTTAAAGAAGGCAAATATTAGCACAAATCATTTATATCTTATACTCCAAAGAAAAAGTACTGTCTTTGAGAGTGTGTCTTTGTAAATAAATGTGGTAAAGCAGTTTAGAGAAGTCACTTTCTGGGGTAATTCTGGGGCCTCCCTGTCTTGTGGGTTGGCATAGCGTTATCACTTGAGAAGGGCATTTCTGGCATTTGTGTTTTATAAATGTAGTGTGCCAGGATAAACATGTATGTATAGAACTTTCTCATGCAGAGCTGCCCCTGACCAACCTGATGCCCATGGAGAGTTAGGAAACCACGTACCTTCCCGCAGGCAGCTGCTGGCGTCTTGAGTGTCTCCTGCTCCAGGAAGCTCTAGGTGGTTGCTGGGTTGGCAGAGCGTGCTCCCCGTCCTGGAGACTAAGACGTCTGCAGTGTGCCCCTGGGGTCTGCTGACATAAGTGAAGCCAGGAAAACAGGGCTTGAAAACAGGATTTCAGGTTAGCTAGCGTAGGCAGAAAAGAGTTGTCAAATGTTGTCTTCTAACTAGTGGTAGCCGAAAGCATCAGATTGCTGATTTAGATTGGATCTCAATTCCTA